ATCCCTCACCTTAAATAACAATTGTAACATCAGCTGACTTTGTAAATACCTCCGCGCGCCCACCAAAACCGTAACCCACCAACATATATGTTTAGAGTAAAATATTCTTCCCAAAACTCCATCCTTGCACTCGCTCTCACCTTAATCTCCGGCCAAACTATCGCCCTGAGAAGCTTTTGGTCGAGTGACTTCCTGACGATCGCCGTTCTGTTGAACATGGTGTCCCTCAGGCGCCTCATGAGCTGCAGGTCCTTATTGAGTCCGCCCCAGAGACCTGTTCCATGGCGTGAGTTCAGAGTGAGTTGATGACTAACGTAGAATATTGTGAAACTAAATTGACTGATGTTTGAGTTCTTCGTACATACATACATACACATGATTACACGGGCACACAAGTACATGCATACTAATATACACAAACACTATTATTTATTATTCATGCGTGTAATACTGAAAGCTCTATCCTGAAATTGTGCTGAAAGGTGTAATTCACGATTTGCTGAAGTAGCATTGCTGATGATTGGAAGTCATATACATGGACGTAAAAAGTACCTCCCATAAGCACAGCTATATTGCCTGGATGGTCGTGGATGGCATGGTAGGTCTTGCCCGACTCCAGCCACTCCCTCACGGCCGCTGCGTCTCTCTCCAGAACGTAACTTCGTCCCGGAATCAGTTGAGAAAGGAAATAATAAGAATGGAAGAAAAGAACAGAAAAACGTCACTGCACCTTGTACTTTGACGTTGCTTTCAATATTATTACAGTTTTATGTACTAATATGGGAAGTTTGGACACTGATGTATATGATGTTGCGTGATTTATCAAGTAATTTTGAACCCTGGGACTAGGAATAGATTCCTAGCTTCATATGCATAAAAAATCAGTGTTGGCCCAGTGTCCAAGTGGACATTTATTGGCATGTTCGTTTTAAGGAATAGGTCTTTGACGCCTGGACTCTCTCGCCAGTGAGCCGCCTGGAAGGGTTGCCGCTTGCGAACCTGAAACACCACCTGTAAAGCAAGGTACATCACCTCTGGATGGTGTTTATTTACCTATATATATACTTCCCGCGTACCTGTCAATGTCCCGACAATGAAATGCTGCAACAGTTGGGTCTCCCATGGGAGTGTAACGCCAGAGCCTGCCATACACGCCTCTTCTCGACAAATTTCCTGGAAGGACAAGATACTATAGTATGCATTTTTATGTGATTTTGAGATAATCATAGACGTCAGTCTTACACTGTTGTCATCAATCGATGAAACAATAGATGTCGGTCTAATGACTTTGCTATTATGATTATTATTATCACATTAAGATACCGGTACTATCGCTGCTATTGTGAGTACTATCATCTTTACTATCGTTGCCACTACCATTATCATGATCCTTATCACCATCGCTATCACCTAACCCCCGCCCCTCACCCACCGACGCCGGGCAGGTCATGCGCCAGGCAGAGGTCGACATGCGGGTGGTCGCAGTAGATGCGGCACAGCTCCTCGGTGCCATGCAGGTCCTCGGCGGTGACGCTGTGGTAGATCCTCATCAGCCAGCCGGGGTAGATTCTCTTGATGTCTTTGGCGTTCATGTAGGCAAAGCTCATGTATTTCCGCTGCTCTTTGCTCCCTGTCCAGTGGGTTTAGTCATAGTTTATTGATGTATTTCGCATGTTTGTTGTTATAAGTAAAGTGACATCACATGGTACCGAATATTCCTTCATTATTTGCAATTAGTTTTCATCTTTTTTATTGCAGTTAATGAGTGCATTGTTAATGTTCAATATATCTATAATTTGCTTTGGTGAGGAAATTAAGTTATATAGATTTTTACTATATGTAAAATTATCATATCCAGTATTTTGCGTATTCAACTACCACAGTCAGCATTGAAGAAAAAATCACACACTAAGAATCTTACATCAAAACAAATAATGCAGAACCAGTAGTAACAATGCAGATTTGACAATGCAGACCTTGGTACAAAATAGATAATACGCACGCAATACTACTGATTGAATAATACCGAGATACAGCTTACCGGGCAGAGTCCCCCTGTAGGCGAAGTAGCAGAAGGACAGGACCCTCTGGCGCCCCCCTCGCTGCGTGGCGAAGTCCGAGCAGGTGGACTCGCCGGCGAAGGAGAAGCGCTCGAGGAACCAGCGCGGGAACCTCTCCGGGCGCCGCTCGGCCTCCGCCCGCGCGCGCCGGAGGTCGCCCATGTCGATGCCCAGCCTGCAAGGGGCCGGGCAAGGTCAGCGTTTGAACAAGAGGCAAAAGAGGTCAGAAGGTCAAGAGGGTTCCTAGTATTATGCTGCAGGGAACAGGAAGGTCATTATCTTCCAGACGCCTTGTATAAAAAATGTTATAATCTTGTACGGCATACATTACACCATTATACTTAAATACATCCAATGAGAGTGATAACTATTATCAATCCATGTTTTTTTTATGAGAGGATAGACAAAATCGAATAATTTGATGATTACGAAAGGTGTGGAAATGATAATAACGATTATCATGGTCTGTCACGTCCCGTTCTGAGGGGAAAGCTGAAGAAACTTGTTATTAATATTCACTGCTGAATGGAGTTTTGTAGAATTACTTCATTTTTCGTTATTCATAGCATATATTTAGCAAGTGCAGGGTGAATACTTATTGCGAAACATATGGTAATCGTATGTATCTTCTGAAAATTAATGTGTGTATGTTATCGATAATTTCTTGGTACGTTCAAGACATTAATAACCTTTAAGAAATAGGAAAATGCACTGCCACGGGGTTCAGCATTCAACTTATGAAGATCTTAAAAACTGACCTCTATACCAATACAAGAGGGTGACATGTTACAGGAAGAGAGAAGTTAGAAAAAAGATGACATTACAATATTGAACGCAAGAATAACGAGAGAGGGTAATTTTTTTTAATAAGAGGCGACAAGAATATCAAATATAAATCGATCTCCCAAACAACGTGATGTGTGACAAAAATATGCGCCTAATTTTATAAGTTATCTGATAATCTATATATACCAGACAGGATCCTGATGGATAACAACAAGGTAAGAACATATACACGCAGACGCACGCAATCTATTCAAACGTATATATTTATTTGATCTTTCTTAAGATTTTACGGTTATCATCAATATTGTTGTTATTATCATTATGATCATTATTATCATCAGTATTATTGTTATTGTTATTATCATTATCATTACTACTACTACTATTATTATTGTTATCATTGATGTTGATGTTATTATTACAATTATTATCATCATCGTTATTATTATTATTATTATTATTATTATTATTATTATTATATCATTATCATTACTATCATTATTATTTTCATTATAATTATTGTTTATTATCATTATTACCGTTATTATCATCATCTTTATTACTGTTATCTCTATTTGTATAATAATAATAATAATAATAATAATAATAATAATAATAATAATATAATTATTTATTATCATTATACTCATCATCGTTATTGTTGTTGTTATAATTATTACTATCATCATTAGCATCATTTTCTTTACTATTATGGTCGTTATAATTATTTTTAATCTTAATAATATAAAAATATTAATCAAATAATAATAATAATATTAATAATAATAATAACAATGACAATAATAATCATAATGGTAATGATAACAACAATCATAATAACATTATTATCCTTATTATTATGTATAACATTATTATCAGTATTATTGTGAATATCATTATCGTCAATATCATGTTCCTATCAGTTACTGTCAATATTATCATTATTACCTTTCTATCATTGTTACCATTATCATTATCACTATTTCCTTCTTCCTCGCGTGGTTTCCATCGTTACCCAGAGGAACTACGAGAAACCAGGAAGGAAAACGTAAATGAAAATGTTTTATTCGCCATTCCACTGCGCCAGCCCCCCCCCCCCCCTCCTCGACTAAAATAATTAATTATTTTAAATGACTTGCCGCGTCAACGGCTAAGGTCATTAGCAGCAAATCAAAACGTGATTGTTGATTATCAGATTGTGTTTATTTGTTTTGTAATGTGTGTGTGTTTGTGTGTGTGTGTGTGTGCTTGTTTGTTTGTGTGTGTGTGTGATATTTGTGTTTGTGTGTGTGTTTGTGTGTGCGTGTGGAGGGTTATATATGATTTTGTTACTTCTGCCAAGTATTTCCTTTGTTATACGTTTATATGCTTTCCTTTTTTATTGTTGCCGCGGTGTTCGTTTTTAATTACGGTATTTTCCATTTCCCTTTCCTGGTTTCTTTTCTCTCTTCTTTAACTGTCATCTTCCTGACTTCGGTGTTTTATCTTTTTTACCCTGTTATATCTTCATGATAATTGCCATTCCACTCTTGTTTAGGGGCTTTCTTCCCGTATTCATATTCTTATCTTCGTTTACTTGCTGCCGTATGATCGATATTTTATTTTCGAGTTTCTCAGCGTCATTTCTCCTTTTGGTGAAGGCGATTCTTTCCCGTGGGGAGAACGGCCCTCTCAAGCTCAGTGCTTCTATGCTCTCCTTTTTTTCCTCTCCTGGCCAGGCAAGCGGGACTCGCCTTATATCGTCCGCTGCCTCTGTGTTCTGATTTTACGCTCTTCCTTTTCTGTCGTGTTCTGTTACAAAGGTATGTAGACTTGTGAATTATGTGCCATTTTCCCTATCGAAGTGATATCTCGATAATGTCTGGTTCCCATTTATATTTTGCACAAGATGTTTTCCTTCTTCGCGAGTTGACTGTTAGTGAAGTTTATAAAGTTGTTTATAATCTATGTATATACATTCTACATTTTTCCTTTTGAAGATATTTTTTGTGTTATTGGAGTTTTAATCCCATAGTCGGGGTTCCCTGTATATACCTACTACAGGGAGAGCGTTTGATGTGCACTCATTCAAACTGTTGCATCGGTCCATTCTTTTTAGTGCTCTTTTAAAGCCGTTTTTCTTTCGATCCCAGAGTTTCTCTATGAACGAAGGTCCTCCCGAACGAAGGTTGCGGATGACAATGTACTGGCTGCACAACACATGCACCCTGCATATCAGAGTGAGCCCTTGCCAGTGTTTGTACTCTAGCAAGGATGACTTTGCCAGAGTACAGACGACTGTGGGAGAGATACATAAAAGTCTTTTAAATGATCAGGTACTGATATTCTGCCATCCGAGCCTTTACAAGAAACCTCAAACAATGCTGATAAAACCTTTCTTTCCTACGGATAGTATCATGGAGGGCGACGTTCCTCTAGGATCACCTCTGGGTCCGTCGGTTTTTCACTCCCGAGAGGAACAGACAAAGGCTCTTTTATCTCAACTCAACAACTTTTGTGCAATCACCAGACTCGCGAAGTCTTCGAGAAATGCAGGTGGAGCACCCTCGAAATCTCCCTCATCCAGCTCGTCATCATGGTCATACAAGCCCTCCTTTCACTCCTTGACAGGGTGTGCTTCTTCCTCATCCATTTATGTAAGGAATGATCTTCCCACGACGTTCCTTAGACGCCGAGTTCTACCTCAACATCAAAGCAGCAGAAGGCATCAGGCGCTAAGGGATGCATATACTGTAACATTCAAACCATCGCTTATAAAGGATACTTCCTCTACTAGCTTGTGCGTGAGTAGAGTTGCACATCACCACCTTGTGTCTTCGTCTCCGCCAGTTATGCTGCTTATGTTGAAATCAATCTGTTTAAGCAATAATGTTATATAGCTTGTCCCAACCTTCTTCACCTATCCACCTGAAACTATTCTTGGTGGATCGTATATGATCTGTGACAGTTGGAACCGAGAGGCAGATCAGTCTGGTAATATGTTAGCTTGCAGATGTGGCTTAAAGGATGCTCAAGTCCTGATATCCCTATTCAAGCCTCTCCAGTTTCAGGTGAGCAGATATGCTCTTGGCACCCGATGAGTGTTTCTGATACTGTTTTTTTTTTTCTTTTCATGCGTAGCTCGCATGAGGGAGGCTCCAAAGCACTGATCACTGATTCCCGCGCAGATTCAACAATGTACGCACTTTGTTTATTGTGAGGCATGGTGAATTTGTTCATTCGAATACTGGTGTCCTGATGTCCAACTGACTGATTTGGATTCAGGGATCTTTAGGCGGAGGAAGTTAATCTTCTGTCACTGCCATACTGCATGAATTTCAGTAAAAAGAGTGGAAATGAAAAACTCACTGCACACAAGGAGTGTATAGTGTTTCCTATTGCACCTTGCACAAATCAGTTCGGTCAGTTCAAGTGAGTTTGTACAAGGAGATAACTATTCTAGTCTTATTACACAGCCCAGTGCAGTCCTCTGCACTTTCCCAAATTTATGTGAGTAAGATTGGATATGTACTAAAGGCACTCACCTCAAGGGTAAGAGTAATCAATGAGTGGGTATCTTGTTTCAGCAGAAAAATCAACTACCATGTGAGCCTGGATGTATATCCGAAGGACGCCTTGTGCCCATTGCCGGTTCTTCGTCAATATCTTCATTATTTTTTATGTCAGTCATTTATAGATTAGATTTGGCCTGGTCATTCATGGCTTCAATGTCCTATCAGTTGATTAACTAATCTCGCTAACTCATGCCATTTCTATGTAGCCCATCAAATCTGAGAGCATGAAAAGAAACTTGCTTTCCTTCTTACTTTTAGTGTAAGCAAGACACCACGAGCGACCACTCATTCTTTTGTCAGCACATATGTTGCTGACTACCAGAGTTTTGCTTTATAAATCTATTTTCTTGTGAATTATCGATTTATGTTAGTTATGTGAGATGCCTCTACCTACTTGCGTTTTCATATGTCAAACACCCCTTGTGCAATTTACCCTTACTTGTAGTTCGCAATCTATGCCTGAATTTCTCAGTTCTGTTAACTGATCTAGTTTATATCAAGATTTATTTTTTATTTTTTGCACCCCCCTCGTTTTTTTCATAGGTGTTGTTTCTAGAGTGACGAGGATACGGGGCCTCGTAACCGATTGGTGGTAGAAGGAATTTGATAGAATATCCATCGAATTTTCTCATGTTTTGCCGCCCTCCTCCCCGTTGATGTATCCCTTCCCGTGGACGGTGGGTCTACTTACCTCCTGGGAGCCATGAGAGGAAGACAAAACGTAAACATTTCCAATCCTGCAACTGAAGGATTATTTTGCTACGGCCGCAACACAAGCACAGGACCCACCTGGCGCAGTGGCATCCCGGAAGAGTGTAATTGCGGAGAGACAGACCGAGTTCCCTGAGACGGTGAGCGGCCTCTGCCCCATCTACATCTTCAACTATGTCTGCATCTTCTTCTCCATCAACTTCTTGACTTTTCTCTAAGGCCGCTCCTTCATCTGTGTTTTCCTCATATGCTTCCGAATATCGTTTTGTAAGGACAGACTCTGACGACGGAGAGGCCATGCTCTTGACTTCCACACTTGGTACTGTCATAGCCTTCTGCAATAAATATACATACCTTTATATATATATATATATATATATATATATATATATATATATATATATATATATATATATATATATATATATATATGTGTGTGTGTGTGTGTGTGTGTGTGTGTGTGTGTGTGTGTGTGTCGTGTATACACACACGCGCGCACGCAAGCACACACACTTCGAATTACAAGACTTAATAGATAAAATTAAAGATAATTAAACTAATGTCAGAAAACGGATCACTATAAGCAAATTAAAATGGCGCCAACAGATGTTCACCTTCAAACATAGTTGCATCGTTGCAAACGATCCAGAGAGAACTATGGAAAATTAGTATCAATTAGAGACGATCGCACAAGAAGGCTTTGCAAATCTTAAACTTATAATCGTTTAATGAAATCACGTTAGAATTGTGGATCATTTTTTTATGATTATTCTTATCAAAGAAGCATTGAAATGTAACCCTGTAAATATAAGTATACAGAATTTTTGGATAACTGCAATAAAGAGAGTATTGGGCATCGCTTTTCCCTTGCTAGGTATGTGCAATTCTCTGTAAATCGAGACGCTATTATTTACTGACTGTCCTTAGTTACAAGAAGAGATGTGTTTAGTGTGCCAGAAGAGAAGCGAGAAAGAGTGAGAGAGCAAATGCCGCGACCATTGTGTGTGTGTGTGTGGGGGGGGGTATTTTCTTATTGGCCTTGTTATTCGACTCGGCTTATTCTGATCTGGGTTGCGCCAAGGAATAAATTACCATTGTTAGTTTTTTTTTTTTTTTTTTTTTTTTGGATTGACAACATTTCCGTCACATAAAGCATTGAAGCACCAACATGAGAATATGTCCAGAAATTGGGATTTTTGTCAAATACCCAACAAATTGGCCAAGTGAGGTTTTATGCATCTTCGAGATGTTTGGAAATACGAGAAGAATTTCCCTCCTTTACAAACAAGCAGTCGCTTTTTTCGCTGACTAACATCCTTCGCTGCCATATGAGTGAGTGCGTGAGTGTAATTATGTGCATAGAGTGGGTAAAGTATATCTAGTGTTGTAAAATCATGGTTATATTTATACGCAACCCAATACTCATTTCATGATATACTTGCACCATGACGTTTACTGGAATGTCATACACTAATCCTCATGCCCTTTTAGCATCTGGCACAACGCAGTTATTCGCAAAACCCTTAACCCAGCATTAAATAATAGGTTATTTAAAACTAATGTTAGTTATAAATAATCAGTTATCTCAGTGTTACATTTATACATAGCTACTGTAATGGCATTCACGAATGAAGGTCACATTTCAAATTTCGTTTAACTGTTTCTAATGAGATGCTCCGGTCCATTCAAGTTGTACATCGAACGAAACTGAACTCAAACGCAGGGGAGCCTTTCCGTGTCCACCGAAAGCGGGTGAAACAGGTATGAGTGCAAGCAACTGAACATTTAGATTTCACTTCCTATCATTATATGAGCATACTGTAATATACCATGCAAGAGAAGTATCCTATGTGAAATACCTCAGAAAGTAAATTAGTTCATCAACATATCTGCATATCCACCATTGCCCAAAGCGACTCATCTATGGTAAATTTGTTTTCAAAGTAATACCATTATGAATATTCTGTTACTTTCTAACTCCTTATTGGTACACAAAACCAGCACTTTGTTGTGGATCGAATATTTTTAAAAGTCTCCGTTAAAACGATCTGTTAGGTTTTAGTTAGTGAGTGAGGAGTATGAACGTTCTTTTCTCTCCGTGTGAGCTGAACAATCAAAATGCAGTACGAACTATCATGGTTAATTTTTTCCTGAAAGAATACCAAATTGTACAACACTTCAAACGTTCCGATCCGCATTCAGGTTCCATTTCTTGTCACGATATGAATATACTGTCATGTGATACTTATTCCCCTGTTCACACTTACATGCCTTAAACATACCTTCCATAGATCAAGGCTGAGCGTGACGACCCGAGACCAGCATGAGGAAGAAATCTCCCTCGGTTCCTCGCTCCGAACGTCATGGCTGTTCGTAGCGGAATGTTTAATTGAATATTCAGAAAGCTTCGTCTCACTGCTAACTTCATCTAAGTAGGAATGTGCAGCGGGAAATGATGGAGTGAACTCATCATAACGCGCAGACCTAAAATGCACCCCAAATGTACCAATCAGTATATATATACTATACTATATAATATATACTATATATAATATATATATACTAAATTAATTAATATTATATATATATAAATATAAATATAACATATATTATTATTAATATATATTACATATACATACATATAATATGTGTGTATATGTATGTGAGTTATATATATATACTATATATATAATATATATATATATAGTTATATATATATATAATATAATATAATATTATATATATTATTAAACTATATACAATATACATAATATTCTACATGTATATGTAGTGGTATTATATATATATATAATTAATATATATATATAAATTATATTATAATATATAATAATTTATATATTAATATATATATATTATATAAATATATAT